TGAAGAAAGGACATTTGAATTCTATTCATTAGGATGAAATATGCAGACTTATTTACAACTCCTATGGTCCCATATAGTAAACATTGGAATATTGATGAACTGTGTATATAAGATCAAAACTCAAATTAAATAAAATGCAATGAAATTGATTGGTGTTTTCACAAGGTGGGCCCCTTGTCTGCTCATGAGGGGTATCATGAGTAGGGCCTATCGGCCTAAGCATGCTCTCTACGTATCTTAATTTTAAGACAGGCTAGTAAATACAAAACAAACACTTTCAATTAGTCATTGGATATTATATTTTGTAAACAAAGTGTTTCAAGAGTGCAGGATTCTAATATATGCTAAAGGCATAAGGTTGATACGTTGCCTTTCTTTTAAAACACGAACTAATCCTCCATGACCACATGTTGTAGGCGCTATTTTGTTTCCAATAAACGCTTGAAAATCACAGAACAAAATCAGTCGTTCTGATAAAAATCAGATTTGATGGAATTTTATTTTACAGAAGTTGATAAACATAAAAAAAAATATTTGAATAATCTTATGAGAAAAAAACTTTCCAGTCGGCGCGTTTTAATTGGGTCGGTCGCGTTAGGGGAAACAAAGGTATTTTTTGTTTTGGCCTAAAAAACAATATTTGTTAACAAATGGGGGATTCCCTGCTTCGAGACATATATTTTTATTAGACCATAAACCATAGGTTACCGTAGGCCATTCTCCAAACGAAAGGAAAAGTACAGTCTGCTTGCATAGAACGACATATGGATGTAATTGACGGGAAAATTTTATATTTTGAAAAATTATAAGCTCTTACATATTTTTTAATTAAAGGGGGGGGGGGGCTATCGATCCACACTTCAGGCGCCTGTGCCATATCCCGGGGGTCATGATTAGAATAATTTTGAATTTTTATATTACATGGGAATGCTTCATTAATATGGAAGTCATATTGATATCGAATTCATTCATACGACTAATCATATGGCTGTGCTTTTTTTTTTTAAATACATGTAGATTTCTTTTCTATATATTCCGAAGGAAATAAATAATTCACGTTCATGAGATTAGAAATAAATAGAAGTACTGTGAACACTGAGCTCACAAAATGATATCCCCCGCCTTCCACATGATTATAATGGCAAAGTCCATGTTTTCCTATGATTATAATGGCAAAGTCCATGTTTTGCGATGGGAGACCCAAAATAAGTTTCCGATCAAAAAGTAAAATAGGAGGTGCACAATGGCACTATGTAATAAAGAAGATTCTGTGAAAGTATAGTTAATTTATTCAGTGATGTAGGAGGAGTTTGCGGATATAAGAGATGGGTACTCCTCAATATAATAGAAAGAATGGCAGTGTCTATATTTTGCTAATGGAACGAAATATAGCGAAATATGTATTCAATCAAAAAGTTAATCAGGAGGTCACAATGGCACTATGTAACAAAGATTCTCTGAAAGATTCATTAAATTTCATTCAGTGGTATAAGAGGAGTTGCGGATAAGAGATGGGTACCCAAAGCGTAACGAACGGACGGACGGACATTCAGACAGGTGGATGGACACCCCCATCACTATATACACCCGGCTTTTCAAGCGAAGGGTATATACTGAATAAATAAAACAGCTACCCGACTCCTCTTGATATTGAATATTTTATAAAATATGTCCATTTTGCAACAATTGACAGCAACTTTTAAGCTTTGTAAAACCTCTTATCTTCTTCATGGTCTTTTAGCAAATTATAGGGCTTAAATCAGTCTTTCAATGGCAATGCAGAAGTTATATTTCAAACGTAAACTGTTGGTATATTGAGCCTTAGCAGTTTTTCATCCTGTTATCAATCTCTAGGGCATATTTATCTGCTTTAAACTTTATTTGTGTTAGATAAGAGATATATTGTGTATTTACTAATATAATAGAGCTTATAATAAGATTGTCCTGCACGGAGAAGGGAAAGGGGGGGGGGTGTTCAAAGAAGGCATCATTTGACTGTTTTGAGCATTTTAAGTACACTAAGTATACAGATACGTGAATATTGAATTTTACCTGCCAATAAATTGACATTCACTGTGAACTGTTTTGAATGGTTTATTTAAAACTGAGTTAAACAATAATTTTGAAAAGTGAGGTCGAGCTCATTGGAAAGGTCGAGGTCAAAAAATGTTGATGCAGTTGAAAAACTTACATCAGTATGTATCAGCATATGAAGTTTGATAAAAATATCATAAATGCTTTTTTTTTTTTTTTTTTTTAAAAAACTGAGCTAAACACAAATTTAAGAAAACTGACGTCAAGGTCAAAGGAAAGTCAAGGTTAAAATATTAATGCAGTTGAATAACTTACTTCGGTATATATCAGCATATAAAGTTTGATAACACTATCCTGAATGGTTTATTTAAAACAGAGCTAAACACTAATTTAAGAAAAGTGAAGTCTAGGTCAAAGGAAAAGTCAAGGTCCAAAAATGTTGACGCAGTTGATAGCTCTCATTAGTATGTATCAGCATATGAAGTTTGATAAAAAAAATGTCTTGAATGGTTTATTTAAAACTGAGCTTAACACTCATTTAAGAAAAGTGATGCCAAGGTCAAATAAAGGTCAAGGTAAAAAAATATTGATGCAGTTGAATAGCTTACATCAGTAAGTATCAGGGGCCCGTTTTACAAAAGAACTTACGACTGATATCAAAAACTTAAGTTGATTGTAAAATTTTCCAGAAATATTGATCCTGTTTGAAAATGCTAGCATAAAAATATCTTGTAAAATTCTGTTTCAAGAGATTAAAACCATTTTCAAATTCAAGTAAAATAGAAATTAATAAGCAGAATTAAATTTTGGTCTTAGTCGTAAGTTCTTTTGTAAAACGGGCCCCAGCATATCAAGTTTTATTACACTATCTTAAATGGTTTCTTTAAAACTAAGCTAAACACTAATTAAAGAAAAGTGGGGTCAAGGTCAAAGGGAAGTCAAGGTATAAATATTAATGCAATTGAAAAGCTTACTTCAGTATGTATCAGCATATGAAGTTTGATAAGTCTGAATGGTTAATTTAAGACTGAGCTAAATAATAATTTAAAAGTGAGGTCAAGGTCAAAAGAAAAGTCAAGGTCCAAAAATGTTGATGCAGTTGATAGCTCTAATTAGTATGTATCAGCATGTTTATTTCATAAAAAATATCTTTAATGGTTTATTTAAAACGGAGCTTTGAATTGAGCTAAAGGCAAAGCGCGATGGAGGGACAGAAGGATGGAAAGACAGATGGATAGGACAGAAGACGGAAATCACAAAATTTATATATGCCCCGGCCAATTCAAGGCGGGGCATATAAATATTTCTTAATGTACTTATTTACCCAAGTATTTGCTCAGTTACAATATTTCTTCTTAGTAAACATACCTGATGACAAAAAGATTCACAGGACGCAAACGTTTGTCATTGTCCAACTTCGTCCTTCTGTCTTTCTGTCCGTCAGACTTTAGCTCAGTTTCAGAAAAAAAACTATTCAAGATATTTTCATGAAACTTCAAACAATAATACAAATTAGTGAGAGCCATTCTAATGTGTCATAATTTTCTGATCTTAGCTTTCCTGTGACCTTGACCTCACTATTCCTCATTTACACTAATCTTAAACCCAGAAGCAGGGTACATTTCTTTTAATGTTGCATTAGTAATGAACCTTGGGCGGGGCATTCATGTCCCATAGACATATTTCTAGTTGATAGTCATATCTCCTTATCGACCCAAAACATTTGCACCCAGTACCATGTACCATATATAGTATTTTTATGATTATCGTATTTTTCCCTACAAAAAGAAAAAAAAATTATGAAAGATCACCCTTGCTGATAAACGCGCTATTTTTTTTTAACAAGCATAAAAAACAACGTGATATTCTGACTCGAAATGCATCACTTTGTTACATGTATGTTTTCTAATATGAGTTTTGTTATGTTTTCTAATATGAGTTTATTAGAATTATTAAACGCTGTTTAATTGTTCTCACCAACTTGTATCAGTATATAAATATGATGAAAATATCTATTTCTTTCAAATTAAGATAAATACAAAATGAGGGACAGTGAGATCAAGGCCATAGGAAAGCTCAAGGTAAAAAAATTATGACACAGCTGAATTGCTCTCATCAGTTTGTATCTTTGCATGAATTTCATGACAAATTCTTGGAATACTTTCTTTTTAACTAAAAATAAATAAAAAAAATGAAAAAAGTGGGTTCAAGGTCATAAAGAAGATCAAGATTAGAAAATCATGTCTCAGTTGAAGAGTCCTAACCAATATGTCTCAGCATACGAGTTTTAACAGTTGAATAGCTCTAATCAATTTGTAGAAGTGTATGAAAAAATCTGTGCTAAAAGCAAAATAAGTATTAGCGAGGTCAAGGTAATTGGGAAGTCAAGGTCAAAAAATATGCCACAGTTTAATAGCTTCAGTTTATGCAATGTGAGAAATATATCAATGGATGATTACTTAAAAACTGAGCTGCATTAGAAAAGCCAAGGTTACAGAAGGACCAAGGTCCAAAAATTAAATAAATATGCCTTATTTGAATAGCTTTCATCAATAGGTATCAGTGTATTAATTGTGGTTCAAATATACTTTAAAACTGAGCTATTCAACACAAAATAAGGAATATTAAGGCCAGGTCACAGGGGAGGTCAAAGTCAGAAAATGATATCACAGTTAAATAGCTCTCATCAAAAGACATCAGTGTATGAATTGTGGTTATAATATCTTGAACATTTATTTTAGAACTGAGCAAAACGCAAAGTGTAACGGACAGACAGAAGGAAGGACGGAAGATGGACATGATAAACACTATATGGCCTAGTCATATTCATAAAGGGGGGGGGGGGGGCATAATAATCCTCTTACTATATAGATATGAAGTGTTATATGCTACAAGGGTATCAATTTTATAAACTTATGTGGATCACAAAAATTGTCTATCAAAACGTAAAAAAATGAAGAAAAATATTGAAAATGAAAATAATCATTCAATTAATCAACTAAATTATCAAATAGGAAACAAATGATTATCAAGTTACAATAATCTGAATAAGGTGTTATTTTCATGTAAGGGAAAAATCCGTGGATTCCGTATGGCTGTTGTAATTAGCATTCCGGATCTTTAATGGTGCCTGGCCATGACTTGTCCCATCACTGGAAGTTGTTTGTTTATATTTCTTTTGTTTGTCTTCAACACAATATTGACAACATAATTTTTTCCAATGATTTCTGAATTGTTTCTCCCTTGCAACAAATAGAATAAAGATGAAAAATCCCTGAAAAGTTGTTAAGATTGTAAATAGGTAAGCGAACACAACCCTGGCATCCTCTATTGCTAAAATACCAAAAATCCAGGTCAGCCCTGAAAGAAAACAAAGGAAGTAGATTACAGCATTTATTTTTTAAAAAAAAAATCAAATAAACTTAAAAGTGTAATACATTTATAATTCTATTAATTTTCTTTTTTTTTATTTTGGCACTTTTCCCCTACTGGTTGATAGTGGAAGACCCGTAGTAATATTATGCATTTATTTTAATCACGGTAAAATTTTTCAATGATTTAGCAGATGTTACTGGTTTCCATTAAATCTACATACCTAATAGTATAAATATCGATACAGCTGCTCTCAAATTCATCATGGCCATTTTTGATTCAGACTGATTTGACTGCAGGCCCTTTGGACGACTGAGCAGGTTTTTCAATACCAGAGCAAAAATGATACAGTTCAGCAGAATTATTAGAACCACTGGAATCAGGAAGGCGTAATAGAATGGGGACCTCGACATCCAACAGCTGTAATATACAAACATGGCTACCGTAACATTATTATAGACTTGACTTCAGGCCTTGTTTACTAATTAAGAATCGCAATTTAAAGTTGGTAAAAATATCTTTTATAAATCGCTAATTATAGAATTTCCTGTTAGTAAAAGAATGTGAAGGAGTACAGAAACAGTAGTAAGATTTTGTGTTTATGAAACAATTGTCCACGATTATCCACCTGTCATGTTATCGAATTTGAATCGTCTAATAAGGAATAAAAATAAATCCCACAAAACAAATTGCAGAGACAATAGCAATTACAAATTAACATTGTAAGATCTCACTAAAACAAACAATTGCAGAGACAAGAATAATCATAAATGTACATTTTAAATTTCTGTCCTCTTGGTATCATGAAAGCAACCTCCATTTGTAAGCAAAAAATTAGCTTCTAAAGTCTCTCTGTACAAAATTATTTTCGCGAGATAGGTAATTGTTATTTATGAGCGAGACAACATTTTCGCGAGATATGGTTTTTGTTGTATAAAATCATTTACAATACAATTATACGCGAAAATAAAATTTTAGCGAGCAGGCAGACTCGCATTATTACGCAAAAATGACGTTCTCGTGAATAAAATGTGATTTACAGTAGATGTTGCAGAATACAAAACTTACTAGTAGTTGCCTCCCTTATATAAATCATAATCAACTGCTAGTACAATGATAACTGGAAGCAAAGGTAAACCTGTAAAAAAAAAATTGAAATGTACAGGTCGATCATTCTGTTCATTACATTTAAATTATGAAGAGGAAGAACACATATCTTTCACGATTTTTTAAGGCAACAGCAGCAACAAAATTCTTATGTAGTGGGTCATATCAAATCCTTTGAAATATCTTTGGCTGACTTACCCCATGCTGGAATGGCGGCTTTCAGTATAAATCTGGGTATGTAAGTACCTAACACACGTACAAATCTTAGATACTGAAGGAATCCCTCTACCAACATCCACATGAAGGACACCAACAGAAAGTAATGCATCAGCGCCGCCACTGTAATGCAACCATAGTAACTCTCTGTACGATCCATTCCCGCCAAAAATATAATCATTGCACACAGTAATGCCAAAGCGAGGTTAAATAAGGTCTGTTGTCCTCTTCCCTTTCGAAGTGGCCTTGACAAGTGTTTAAAAACCATTGTATTACACACCATCTTACAAATAAAATAGTATTTAACTTAAATCATTTGAACAAAGTTGATAACACTTGCAAAAAAATTTCAACACCTACTTGAAAAGAATAAAGGATAAGACAGTTAGTCCAAGTCCTAAGATTGATAGACTGAGTCCAATGATGGTGATAACAGAGAGCGCCAATCTGTTATTATCATCAAGCACATCGGTTTGACCTTTGACGTCCTACAGAAAATAAAATATATTATGATTCACCTTCAATCTTCAACTGACATTCTGGAAACTTTCAAATATTTCTCAAGATTTCATTGTATTTATGATAAAATTTGTATTTAAACCAAGTTCTGTTAAGTCTTCTCAATGAAGACAAAGTTGTTTACAAAACTTGCCAGAAGAATGGCAAAATTGGTGAGGTGGTCACACTGACAAACGACTCGTCCATCTTTCACTTCTTTTTTCTGACAGCCTTTTGTCGACCATCCACCGGAAGTATCGTATAAAGAGTGATTCCAAAACCCACACACCGAGTCAGCTGTATCCTTCAGAGCATATTTCGGAGATATTTATATCGAATAACATGAGAAAAATTTCATGATCATGATTCCTTGTATCAGAATATACAAAATATGATTATTTTCAGGTTTTTCATTGTTATTAGGTAATGTATTACGTGACTTACATTGTCAGGCTTATACACAGACGTGACAAATCGTCCCCCAAGATCTCTGACAACTTGTTCGTCTGTAATAAGAGTTGCTGACGCTATTTTTCCATTCAGCTGGTATCGTCTGTTGTCGGCCTTCACTCGGAACAAGTTTGTATTTTCGTAGATTGATAAGACGACCCTGGTTGTGTTCCCTGTAAAAAACTTGTGTTATCAATCATATTAATTATGTGGGTATTTGGAATATATCCACAAAATGTACATTTTGAAGGTAAAATGTTATTTTACTTCGAGGAAAAAAATAAAAGCATTTCACTTACCGGTATCTTAAGCATGTTGCATATTTAAGCTCCAGTCATGAAATACTGACATCTTTTAAAAAAAAACTGACCACTCCCCCACCCCCGAGAAAAAGGAAAATATATTTTAAAATTCCCAATACTAGTACATACCTTGAATGGAGGTTCCAGGAAGGACAATCCCTGTGTTTGTTACATTGGTCTTTATATCTGTTTCTTTGGTTATCAGATCGACAGTCTCATTGGACAGCACACCGTTTTCGTCTGTATTTTGTATCTGAATCCCTGAAATTCAAATAATACAATTATCAAGGATGCAGACAAGTGAAGTTATTTTTTATTTAAGAAAATGATAAATGCCTACACGTATCGTTTTACCTATGACGCTGGGATCATCAGATGACATATCGGCAACAGAAACAGCATAACCTTTCTGGAAGTTCTGATAAAGCGTTCCATTGAATGTGACGTTTCTCGTTATCATTTCAACGCTTTCTATTATTCTGTAAGATTGAGACACAGGAATATCAGTTAATCAGGAACCGCATTTAAGATGTCTGTCTCAAAGTTTATTGAAAATTTAAAATATTTTTTTTGATACTGGTCATAATCTTTCACCTTGTTGTGCTGCTGCCTATGTCGTGGGCCGTCGTTAATATATCCTCAGGAGCTTCTAATATATTCGTAAACGTGTTTAATACATTATTCAAGGTCTGAAAACAAACCAAATTCAATTTAAAACAAGTTTGGCTTTCCAGAAAGTCTGAAATGTCATCTCTTTGGCTTAATTAATGTCACAGAATAAACAGTGGAATGTAACATTTTTTTCCTCAGCGATAACAAGCAGGCACTGTTATTCTACTGGCAAGTATTTAAAAAAAAAGAAAGAGAGATGTTACATCTTCATCTGAAACACTTTTTTAGTTTTACACTTACATGTATTTATCTTAATGTTTTATAAGCTTGTTATATTGAAATCAAATAAAAGGTGCTGGAGGAATATTGTTTTGAAAGAATTCCAAAGAAATTTCTTTTCTATTTCAATTAAGTTTTGCTACACAATTCTTCAAACAGAAAAAAATTCTCTTATGTTATCTTGGTGAAGTCTATGTTTTACTGAAAATTGACCAAAACTGTAGGTGGAGACGCAATTTTTGCAAACAGACATCAGACGGATCACCTTATCATTAAATTATCTCTGTTGGTAGTCGCCCGCGTGGCGCAGTGGTTAGAGCGTCTGCTCTAGAGTCGCGAGGTAAGGAGTTGATTCTTACGTCGCGGGTTCGAATCCCACTGTGGGACGTGGAGACCGGTCCTTCGGATGAGACCGTATAAACCGAGGTCCCGTGTCGCAGTAGGTGCTGGCACGAAAAAGATCCCTCACTGCTCAATGCCGAGTGCCGAGCATAGGACAAAATTTGCAGCTCTCCACCGGCAAGTGGTGGCGTCTCCATATGAGTGAAAAATTCTCGAGAGGGACGTTAAACAACATACAAACAAAAACAAACAAATCTCTGTTGGTCGGAGCTAATACATGGTTGAACAGTTTTAAACTATATTGATGCAAGATAAACATGCCCTTTTATGGTATATGTTAATACACAAATTATTTTTATATATTTGTTGAGATGATACAATGTTTGAGTAGCCAGACTGTAGCATAATTACCTTCTGAGATATTATTGGGATGCTGGCTACATTTTGTAGTATGATTGACGTGTAGACGACATCTTGGACAGTAAGTGCCGAGGAATTGGCCGTAAGATTGGATACGTCAGAAGCTATGTTTTCTAAGTTACTCATGTTTGCTGAAATCTAGTGGATAACACACGGTTATTATACATATTTCACTGTTTGTATGAAGTAATTAATAGGCAACGGTAATTGTTCTAACGTTAAATACATATGAATACATATATGTAATCTATGCTGAATTATATTTCATAATTCAGTAACATACTTATATTGAAATTGAAACAAAATTCTCCCCAGTTATAAAATAAAAATCTTTTCAGATTCGTTAAAGTACAAGAATGATTTTAAAGGAAAGTCTGCAACATGGTTCGTTACAAGCCATTTTTGTAAAAGTTAAAAATCAAAATATATATTATGTATATTTCACAAAAGTATACACAAAGTAGCTTTGACAATCTATTGTTAATACAAGCACTAAAACTTATTTTTGAGACCGTAGTTCTGATCCTTAATACGAAATGCATTATTTAGTTGAGAAAATGAAAAGGAATAACATTTCTGTTAACGTCAAGGGCTTCAGTGGCACATAATCAACCTACATTGGAATCTCCTTTACATTCTAGTGCTAAAAATATCAACACGAGTCTCCTAAACGTTGTTGAAAGGTTTGATTATAAGAAAAATAAAAAAGAATGAAAACACAAATACCTCTGATAAATTTTTTAAAGATGTCATATCGGAGAACGCCGGATCAAACAGAAATCTACAGTTCGGATTCACGGTTATTTGCCAAATCTCAGCCGGAGCAGCAGTCCTAGTGTAGCAGAGCCCTGTCAACAGGGGCTTAGAGTCTGTAATGCAATGTTAAAGATCAAATTTTAGTGTAGCAGAGCCCCGTCAACAGGGTCTTAGAGTCTGTAAAACAGTTTTAAAGATTAATTCTAGTGTAGCAGAACCCCGTCAGCAGGGGCTTAGAGTCTGTAATACAGTGTTAAAGACGAAATTCTAGTGTAGCAGAACCCCGTCAACAGGGGCTTAGGGTCTGTAATGCAATGTTAAAGATCAAATTCTAGTGTTAAAAAGGAGGCTTTTAGTCTAATTTATGGTCAACGATTAAAAAAAACAACGACAAAGGAGGCTTATAGTCTTTAATGGTCAACAAGAAAAACCTAGAGTAAAACACCAATAAAGATGGCTTGTAGTCTGTATTAAAGTATCAACGATAAATAACTAGAGTAAAACACCGATAAAGAAGGCTTGGAGTCTGTAATAAAGAATCAACGATAAATAACTAGAGTAAAACACCGATAAAGAAGGCTTGGAGTCTGTAATAAAGTATCAATGATAAATAACTAGAGTAAAACACCGATAAAGAAGGCTTGGAGTCTGTAATAAAGAATCAACGATAAATAACTAGAGTAAAACACCGATAAAGAAGGCTTGGAGTCTGTAATAAAGTATCAATGATAAATAACTAGAGTAAAACAGCGATAAAGGAGACTTGGAGTCTGTAATAAAGAATCAACGATAAATAACTAGAGTAAAACACCGATAAAGAAGGCTTGGAGTCTGTAATAAAGTATCAACGATAAATAACTAGAGTAAAACACCGATAAAGAAGGCTTGGAGTCTGTAATAAAGTATCAACGATAAATAACTAGAGTAAAACACCGATAAAGAAGGCTTGGAGTCTGTAATATAGTATCAACGATAAATAACTAGAGTAAAACACCGATAAAGGAGGCTTGGAGTCTGTAATATAGTATCAACGATAAATAACTAGAGTAAAACACCGATAAAGAAGGCTTGGAGTCTGTAATAAAGTATCAATGATAAATAACTAGAGTAAAACGCCGATAAAGAAGGCTTGGAGTCTGTAATAAAGAATCAACGATAAATAACTAGAGTAAAACACCGATAAAGAAGGCTTGGAGTCTGTAATATAGTATCAACGATAAATAACTAGAGTAAAACAGCGATAAAGGAGGCTTGGAGTCTGTAATAAAGAATCAACGATAAATAACTAGAGTAAAACACCGATAAAGAAGGCTTGGAGTCTGTAATAAAGAATCAACGATAAATAACTAGAGTAAAACACCGATAAAGAAGGCTTGGAGTCTGTAATAAAGTATCAATGATAAATAACTAGAGTAAAACACCGATAAAGAAGGCTTGGAGTCTGTAATAAAGTATCAACGATAAATAACTAGAGTAAAACACCGATAAAGAAGGCTTGGAGTCTGTAATAAAGAATCAACGATAAATAACTAGAGTAAAACACCGATAAAGAAGGCTTGGAGTCTGTAATAAAGTATCAATGATAAATAACTAGAGTAAAACACCGATAAAGAAGGCTTGGAGTCTGTAATAAAGTATCAACGATAAATAACTAGAGTAAAACACCGATAAAGATGGCTTGGAGTCTGTAATAAAGAATCAACGATAAATAACTAGAGTAAAACACCGATAAAGAAGGCTTGGAGTCTGTAATAAAGTATCAACGATAAATAACTAGAGTAAAACACCGATAAAGGAGGCTTGGAGTCTGTAATAAAGCATCAACGATAAATACCAACAGTAAAAAAAAGAAAAGGAGGCTTGGAGAATGTACCTGTAATACAGTATTAAAGACAAAAACCTAGATTAAAGACACCGATAAAGAAAGCTTGGAGTCTATATCAGTGTCAGCAATAAAAATTAATATTCAAAAAAAAAATCGACGGAGGCTTGGAATATATAATTATAAAGTGTCAGAAATAAAACTTTATTAAAGAAGTGTGTTTGTACAAGAAAATAGATTTAGCGTTCCAAACCCAAATCAGTATGGCGTCCGTAATTATACGTAAAAAAGAGCCTCCCCCCCCCCCCCAAAAAAAAGCAACAATCCTCCTATAGTAGAGTTTGGGTGTCTGTAATGAAGAAAGAAGCTAAAATACTTCCATAACAAAAATCCCATCGACAGCAACTTGGAATCTAACAGATTAAAGGGACATAGACACAGATTTGAAGTTAATATTTTCTCAAATTTTCTGTATAATATCATGACTTAAATATTACTATAGCATTTTACACGGAAATATAATAAATAAGAAGTCTGTGAGCCAATGCTCACTAATAATACCCCCGCTCTGATGTGAATACACAAGTTCAGTTATGGACAGACACAGTGATAATAAGAAAGTTGACATCGGATTTGTACAAAAATGAATCCAAGGAGTGTGCTAAAATTTCAAGCATCTGCGATGAGTAGTTGCTGAGTAAACTGCGACCAAAATTTGTTATGTTTGTTACGGACAGACACACGGATATACAGGAAGTTGACATCGGATTCGTACAGAATGAATCTTACTATATGGCATGCCTAAACAAATATGTGGTAAAATTTCAAGCATCTGCGATGAGTAGTTGCTGAGAAAACTTCGGCAAAAATTTGTTATGTATGGTAAGGACAGACGCTCGGATAAACAGGAAGTTGACATCGGATTCGTACAGAAATGAATCCCAACATAGGGCATGTCTGAACAATGTTTATGGTAAAATTCCAAGCGTCTGCAATGAGTAGTTGCTGAGAAAACTGCGACCAAAATTTGTTACGGACAGACACACAGACGAAGAGACAGACAGCTAGACGGACAGACAGACACACGAGGGTAAAACAGTTTACCCCCCTCTCCTTCGTAATGTGATGTGTGCAGAGTTTAACAAAAAACTGCGAACGATAGTATTGTTCTGCCGCCTACCTCCAAGTCAAATTTCAAAAATTAACATATCTGTATGATTTTTCATATTTATATAGATATTTGTGTGAATTTTCATAAAACATAACTTATTGGGGAAAACTAAGAGAGAGAACTCTTAATTTTTTTTTTTTTATAAAAATTGCGTTTTTCACTATAGAAATCCACGGAAAATATTTTAAAAACATCTTTCCACCGGGTATGTTCAATTTGTTAGACTCTGCAAACATCACTGAGTACGGACTGACAATACTGGTGAGTTGGTTTTGCTTTCTCACATTTCTACTCTGAATTTTCTGGATTATATCTTCAATTTTTTTCATTAATACACGAAAAAAATTTCTACTTTTCTTAAGTATTAAGAATAAAGTTTACTTTGTTAAAATGCAAGGATGTGTCAATCAAACGCGTTCCAAAATTCGTAATTTCAATTATTTCCAGATAAAATGAGTTTTTTATTATATTTTCGTGTGAAATGCTAAAGCAACATATAAGTCATGATATTATATAGAAAGTTTAAGAAAATATTAACTTCAAATCTATGTATATGTCCCTTTAATATAGACAAATACAATGTATTTGTATTACAAGTCTCCATCGACAAAGATTTGAAGTTCATAATATAGTTACAGAATCAAAAATAACATCTTCGCATAACAAATTATTTTAAAATACCAGATAAAAATTTCAACAAAAGAAACGTATTCACTAATGTATGGGATCTAGCTGTATCAACATAGATTGAATCAAGGAAAGGAAAGGGGACGGAGTATTAATGTGGAATCTGACGAAGTCGAAATTTTGTTTAGGAACATAGGTCATGTGAACATGATCCCCAATATAAATATTAGCAATATGTATTATGTACAAGTGTCAAATTTACATAAATGCAGAAGTACATTTATATTTTCCATGGAAAAAGAAGTGCTGACATCACCAGACCAACACTTTACTTGCTGTATTTTTAGCCATTTTATTTTTACGTTGTGCAATGGCATTAAAAATAACTACTTACCAGTGATGCAAAGCTTTTCTGAATAAGTTGTCGATCCATTCGTAGCTGCTTCAAAAGCAAATATGGATTGGAAGTCAGGGCTGTATCCAAGGGTACAAAACTCTAAAAATATAGCACATATATTAATAAGTCAAGGATAAGAAAAATGTTTTTTTGTGTTGCCTGCAGAACAGAGTCAAACTTAGGGATCACTTTACTGTCTTTCTGTGACACACCTTATACCTCGAGAACTGCAAGAGGTTTTGGATTTGATATTTTGCAAATATATTGCTTGGCACTATGGCTTTTGTAAATTACCATGGTTGCCGACCTCGTGACTTTTGACCTTGATCTTTGTCCTACTTTTCAAAATAGCTCATACAGCATATTTTAACATTTAAGAGGTAAATTTATGCTATTTAGCATGTGCACTGATTGTCATAAAACATTATAAAAATACCAGTGACACATTCCACTTGACCTTTGACCTACTTTGCAAAAAATACCCCGGACTGTTTATGTCTTTTGAATTTTGAGAGGTAGGGTTCTGATATTAACCATTTATACATGTTGTTGAGCTTTAAATACTGTACTTTGAAACTGTTTGTTATACAGTTAGCACACAAACTTATATTTAAATACTATGAAAATACATCAGGATCGATATTCCACAGTGGATCATGTAGACTGACAATTGTAGTACAGACAGACTGAAATCTCTTTTGAAGGATTGTTGGAAGCACATATTAATAAAATGATAAATAATTATTTCTATAATTTCAATTTGATTATTCATTTAAGAGCTGGGAACCATATTTTCCTTGATTGTCAGATTCTATCGCAGTTCTATATTATTCATGGATGTTTTTCTTTTTTGAGGCAATTGCATGAACTTCATGCTAGTAGTAAATAAGTAGCTGACCACTGTTAGATTGATTTAGATCTTTAATGAAGCTACAAACCAGGCGACATATGCCTTTCTTTGAACAGTCTAGTTTTTATTTATGTCACCCTGTTTAAAGGATATTGTTTAAAGAGAAACAAATCTCTGTTAAGCTACTCTAAAAGGATAAATCACTGATTCTACGTTTTCTTAACATTACAAATATACTTGAATTTCATTTCTATCCTCTACTATTAGAAAAATTCTCATATTTTCAGACAGTTATAATTACAAAGGACATACACAACGTAGTTTTGAACTTTTATCTTCTTATTCCCTGTATAATTTAAGAGTACCAATAACTGAAGGTCCTTTGTGCGATTTCATAGAATATTTAGGAAAATGATAAGTGGAAAAGGTACATTGTAAAGTATATTACATGTACACTGCGTATGACCTAAAGTAAATGAGGGAAAGGGGGGGGGGCTTTTTTAAAAAGATTTCTTCATCGTTAATGGTATCGTTCATTTACTCAAAATAAAAAAAAAATAATTGAAAGATTTACCTTCGCTTTGAATTTCCAAAGTCCCAAAATCAATATATTTCTGCTGGCGCTTCCGTCTACTTTCTGAAATTTGAGTCGATGCTTCTCTGGTGATATTTTTTAAAAGTTCTTTCATCCTTCTTGTCGTTTTCCAACCACTCAATGGAGTCACAAATGATATCAGAAAATTTACAGTTTCTCCATTCTTCAATCTAAATCGAAAAACATTTTTTAAAAAGGGAATTGCTTTATTTTTCAGTTTTTTCTCCCCTCATATTCTTAAACTGTTGCACTTTTGTTTTGATGTTGCTGTTTAACACATAAATAAAAATCTGTTATTTTTTAATGAAAAACTGTTATGGCATACAATAATTTAAAAAAAAGTACGCACGACACATTTTTGATTCGTAGTAGTCTTAAAGCACTGTTACGTGAGGGAAATAAAGTAGCCCATATGAAGTAAAACCGGTTTTCAATGTCTGCTCGTAGAGCATCCATTAAGCTTCCGCCCAAATTGTAAGAAGTCTGCAGAGCGGATGATGTATCCACAGGAACAAATAATCGAACACTCGCGTGAAAAACAGACACCCGGTCATCTGTCAAATAAAAAAATAATAATAAATAAAAGAGAAAAGAAAGAAAACTCAAAATAATTTAAGCAGATTCTTTGATCAAGTAAAATTTGATTGTAAAATAAAATTATTCAATATTTGCATAATTAATTTTAAAAAATGTATATCTACTGTTTAAAAATCATTTGTTGTGTTATGTATAGGCTTCAGCCTTTTATCATTACAATCTACAGTTTTGTGTGTTGAGTTTAATTTTTTGGTAAAACACAATCTGTGTCTGCAATATATTACCGCATATTTGAGCTCGTCTCACAATATGCGTCGTTATCAAAGCTCTACCCTATTATTAATGTCATCATTCGCCTCTTATTTTGCGAGAAACTGATGATTGAGTAAAGTCGGAATTTTGTTATCCACCCATACAGTGTCGGTACTTAGTCACTATGTTTCCGGGTTATCTCCCCTTTTCTATGCATCAATGAAAGTGAAAGGTGGGTGATGAAAGTATCTAGGAATTTAATTTTTGTATTTTGAAATAGTCTATCATAATTTATGTTTTTTAAAGTTAATTTTCAGTCAAAATAAGTAGAATTAATTATTTTATTAACATTTATATCGCTCGATGGCGAATATTTGATTGGATGGAAACAGATTGATTTGCCACCCCATTCTTCCATTGTACTGGCACATGTTACAAGGGATAACAATGGCAATAACCAATTTCATCAACAGATTTTGAATAAAGAAAATGTTATTTAGTTGAATAATCGTAAAAAGAGAGCCAGCGTGAAAATGATGATTATTAAACTTCAAATTTATTCGGTACCCTTCTTCAAGGTCAAAAACGTATCTGGATATTTAGATACTTATGTCCCTTGGCCACAATATTTAGAGGAATATCCATAGTATTCTCACAGTGGCTTCTGTAACATACATTTATTATATATATTTATTAGTTTAATACTTGGAAACATTTAGTGACAAAAAAAAAAGAAGGTTATTGTACAAGGATAGTGCTACCCTGTACCTTTAAAGTAGTAAGTAAATAAATACAGATTGAAAATTAATTAGAATACAGTAAATCTATTGCAGCACATCCAATTGTTATATAGCGGAATTCACAAAGCGAAGTACTGTATTTATTTTTAAGTGTATATATAAATAATATATTAGTTTATTTCCAATCAAGCCCCCCCCCCCCTTCCCGAGAGGCATGAAAAAGACACATTTGTATACAAATGCAGTAATTAATTTTGATATAAAATCATGTAAAGTAAAATACATGCAGAGCAAGTTGTTGTGCTTTACAATGTTGTATTACAATAATGCATTATAATATGTATAAATTATGAATAAAACATGAAGTAGATGTGTATTTAATTGTACAACATATTTACTTTTGTCACATGTAGTGGCAAAACTCTTGGTAGGTTAAAATGAATGCATGAATGATGACTTAATATATTTGAGACATAAATATCAGTTGGATGGAAGCATTACAATGAGCAATTCAGGCTATTTAAAATGGAGGCATGAGCACCCTAAGTCGAATTGTACATTGTCCAAATCCACAATACAGTCAAATTTGAGCCAGCAGCATCCTCACCTATCAGGATATCACTTCTCTTATAGGGCTTGGCAAGGAGGACAATTTCGGCCTCCACCAGACCGATAATAGAAGGGCATTGCAATTTAAAAACACAATTGTTCACCAGTTAGGGTAGATAGGATTCCCCATATTTTTAATAATTACCGGTAACTAAAATTCTATCAAGGCTAGCTACTGTTTTGCTTGTCGGGATATCAAATGGGTTCAGATTAATTAAGATGGGGTCAAAGACACGTTTCAGATATATATTCTGTGTCTGCTCATTGGTTCAGTTTTAAGATTATAAAGGAAATCAAGGAGGTTTGGGCTATAGGGTCATTTTCAAAACTGTGTCCACCTTGCATAATCATGAACTTCTCTAATAGAGCCTGTACTTTAATTGAGTGAAGGTGTAATGATAACATGTTTATTGTCCTCTCTCTCCTGCCCCCTAAGGCCCCTTGGGTATGATACATAAATTTATAGAGTTGTGTTAAGTAAAAGTTTTGTACCTTCTCAAGTTAACCTCAAAAACTCAAATAAACTTACATTATTATCACATTATATAGAATATTTCTCATTTAGGCTTGGGAAAGTGTTTGATTTTACATGTAGGAACTAATTTCATCATGGGAGTTTTCTTTCAATGTAATAAAAGCTTCTTTTTTAGGCACACAAGGGCCTTTTAGGTTTAAATATAAATAAAATTCTACAAATAGTCTAAGTAAATAAATAATTAAAAAAAAAAATTAATAAATAGGTAAAATGAAATACAGTTAATTTTAGCAGAGCTTCAGGATAAAATTGTCACAAAAAACATTTTAACTTGACAAGTTTATTGAAAATATGCACAGTTAATCCATTGAGTTATCTGTCTTATCAGAGGGTTGGTTAACCTTAAAATATGATTATGCAACTTAAATTTCCTGACCTTTTACAATTTTACTCGAGTAACTTAGTTTTGACAAATGAATAAATTATAGGGTTCTTAAATTGTTACAGTCAACGCTGGCATATTGGGACAGGGCTGTGGATATGAATCTTTTGTTTTTTTGGTTGGGAAGGAACATTGATCAATGGTCAAGCAGTTAGGGGGGGAAAGGCTATAATAAAGCATTATGTAAAATTGGGGCCTAATTTTTTGTCATTGAAGGTTTCTGTTGTGTCTCTAAGTGGGAAAAATAAAAAGAATTGTAATTTAACTTGGGTAAAAATTTTAATTCACGGTTCGTAAACTCACAAAAGGTGATATGTTTGGGAAACTGGTTTTATTCATCATGAAATATAAAACATAAAACACTGAGCATAAGGCAATATTTACTATTAATCTGCTATGCAAGCAGATGCAAATTCTTGGGGTTGAAGGGGGAGGGGGGTAGACATATACTGTTCCACAGACCTGAATTGAATAGAATCTGATCCATTTCCTGCAATGTTTTGTATGTAGTTTTCAGAAATGAGGCGACAGGTTTGTTAAAGACAGCAATTCTACAAAAACTGCTGACACATATCATGCATATATTTAATGGGCATTTCTCCATTGAAAAATGTCAGTTCAAACCCAATTGCCAATTACATATATGTCATTGGTGTACACCCCCCAACTAAGCAGGTAGCATATATGTACTTTTATAATTATGTTTATATATTAATTTCAAAGGTTATTCAGATGCATCTTCAATGCATATAGAGTTTACATCCATGTATCAGCTGGTGGGTACAACTGCAAATCTGAGGGAGTAAAGATTCATTTTAGCAAAACTTCCCCAGCATTTCCCCAGCATTTTAGGGTATTAAATAAAGGATAGGTTGCCATTACCTTAGCTCATACTTGGACAATTAATTTGTATGCTGGCCTTCATATAATTATGCATATTTACAACTTTAAAACAGATTAAGTCCATATCCCCCCCCCCCAAACCTAGTCTTAACCATATTTTTGCCTTGGGGTGAGGGATGGGGGTAACCCATTCTGAATTAATGTTACAGTTTCAGTATTCCTGAAGTAAGAAGTTTAAGGAGACAAGTTGCAGATTTTGAGAGAGCATCAGCTGGGCAAGGGTCTGGAATATAGAATTTAGTCTTATAGGTACTTCATGTCTGGAGCAGTACATATATATTTACAAATACTTTGGAAACATTTCATAGTCCTCCATTGTGTCTCTTGGGTTGGAAGGTAATTAGTATATGTTTTAATCAATTTTAAATAGAGAGGCTTTAGCAGAGCTTGTTTTCAGAAATAAGTTGTATGACCTCATTCCTTTAGAACTTTAGCTACTGTTGAGCAAAAATGGTTTTCCAGATTAGGTAATAAAGATAGCAGGGAATAGATATCCCTTAATCTGTTCTGCAATTTACAAAGTGGGAATGTGATAACACTTATAACATTTTGTCATTGCAACATTGTCAACAATGCAGGAACTGCAGCCATATACAGATGGGAAAAAGGGGGGTGGGGGGGTTAAAGAGGATTTGTGCTTGTTTATTTCTTGTTTGCAATCTCAGCTGGAAAGTAGTTTAGAACTTTCCAAATTACTTTAATTAAAAAAAATAAATAAATAATGAATAAATTAAATAAATGAATAAGTGAATAAACAAATAAATAAAAATACAAGAATAGGGTAAGTGGGGATTAGAGATTGATATTATTTAGATATTTTCTTACATCAGGCTAGTTTAGTTCTTATTCATGCCTCAGTAAAAATAACCTGTTGTTACTAAAAATATCAGGGTAATAAAAAGACCCAAAGCAGAATAAACAAAAACTTGTACTAGATTCCAGGGAGGGGGTGGGGTGTTTTCAGGCACACTTAATTTGTAGGGAAACTAGATCATTTATCTTAATACCGCAGGGATGGCTGATAAAGAATTGATTTAATCTTGTATTGATGATACATTGAGTAGTGGAGACAATTAGAAAGTGGTATTCACAGTGGGTGGGGTGCTGAGGGTTTTGAGTAGGCTAGGGGTCCACGGTGGGTGGTTAAATTGAAGCTGCCTACCCCCACCAGGTGGCAGTGGGCACCTGCGGTGCCCATGTGGCGAAATCGTCACCTTCAATTTAACCATTGAACTATTTATATTCTTGACTTGTTGTGGTTGATGTTGATATATGTGATGGTTGATGTTGATATATGTGATGTTGACTTTGAAAATTATATCTCATATTGAGTAAATCTAAAGCAAAATTATGTAATATAATTGATATAATTAATTATAATTAATATAATTAAAGATAATTTGTGTTGAAATGTGTCCGTAGCACGATTGAGGTCAACCCAGCGTGCTACTTTTCCCGTCAGGGAGGGCACAACTTAATTGTTGATGTTGGGGGATGTGCCAGTTTGCCGGCTGCCCCACTGTTGTGTAGACCACTGTGGACAATACCTGCCAACTCGAATAAAACATATAAAATAAATAAGGCATTTGTTTTAAATATATTAAGGTCTTTGATAATAAGTTTCTGGACATTACCATCGGGAATTGCGTAAACGTCCTTCGATATCACATCCGCTGATCCTTTTCTCTGAAGTTCACATCGGAATATATCTATGTCACTAGCTGCTGATGCTAGAAACATTATATCACTGTTGTCTTCAAAATTCCAGCTCATGATAGACAAGGAGTAGATTGATTCAGATTCATTTAGCTGTCGGACTACGTAGCCTCCCTTGTACATAGTATAGTTGTCAAACTCGAGGTGAGGACTTGGAAAAGTGCATGTGACTTCACCTCCGACGTATTGTACAGATTGATTGGATATTAAGATCTCTGGTTTTTGAAATACAATTTGAACCTCATCCGATGAATCTAAGAAACAAGATCAATTTCATGAAAAAAATGTTTTTTTCACTAAACATTCCTCTTCTAACAAACGACAAAATCTGACTAACAGAATTAAATGTAAATTCAAAAAAATCTTTCGATCACCATGCAACGCTCTTGTGTCTTCAGGAAAAACAAGGTCTGTGAGCCAATACTCACTAGTAATATAGTAATACCCTCGCTCTGATGTGAATATAAGCTCTCATGTGAATATACACAAGTTCAGTAAACAAATTTTGTACTCATTATATTTTTTTTTCATTTAAGGTTCATCTTTTTTTTATCATCATTAAAGTTAACCATAGAGTCAATGTTAACAGTAACAAAAAAAAAAAAACAAAAAAAAAAAACAAAGCAACGCATGGATAAACAGAAAGTTGACATCGGATTCGTACAAAAATGAATCCCACCATATGGCATGCCTAAACAAAGAATGTGCTAAAATTTCAAGCATTTGCCTTGAGTAGTTGCTGAGAAAACTGCGACGGAAATTTGGTACGGACAGACGCAGGGATAAACAGGAAGCTGACCAGATTTGTACAAAATGAATCCCACCATATGACATGCCAAAACAAAGAGTGTTTTAAAATTTCAAGCATCTGCGATGAATAGTTGTTGAAAACTGCAACGGAAATTTGGAACGAACAGGATAAACAGGAAGATGACATCGGATTCGTACAAAAATGAATCCGCCCATATGGCATGCCAAAAGAAAGAGTGTGCTAAAATTTCAACAGCTGCGAAGAGTAGTTGCTGAGAAAACTGCAACGAAAATTTGTTACGGACAGACAGACACCAAACACACACAAGGGTAAAACAGAATACCCCCTCTCCTTCGGAGTGGGGGTATAGTTAAATCGTACAATGTCATAACATTCCGTCAGAGAAATTATTTGACTACTTACATTTGGTATTTTTTCTTTTTGTTTGACAGACGACTCTTGCTGTCTGCTTACAGTTGCTTGAACTTGACAGAACCATATTTTCGTCGAGATATAAGAACGAACAGGAAACTGGGCCAGCGGTCTCTTCAAACCACACTACAGTACGAAAAACGTGGGTAATCAAAGATTACGAAGCTCACCTCGACGGATGTTATCTATAAGTTAGGCAAATCTTACATCATATTTTTTCTAGTTAGTGCATATTCTAAGATCAATATCCATGCAAGTTTGGTTTAAGTAGTACTTATTAACAAAAAACTTTTAACCTGTGTACTAATCTAGAAAATTTCGGTCAGTTCCAACATCCAAGTTTTCATCCTTAGATGCACCATCTATGCAAGTTAAATCATAACAGACCATTATATTATATAGCTACTCCAAAAACATTACCTTGGTGACTCATCTGGAAAATGTAGGTCAATCCAAAGCAAGTCTGGAAGTTTCCATCCCTAGATACATCACCCATGCTAATTTGGTTAAAATATGGCTAAACTGACTCATGTGGAAAATCAAGGTCAGATCCAGCATCCAAAGCAGGTTGGTTAGTGTACATCCCTAGATGCATCATCTATACATGTTTGGTCAGGTAAGGATTATAGTTACTTGGGAATGGACATGCTCCAAAAACTTTAACCTGGTCACTCAGCTGGAAAATCTAGGTCAGATCCAGCATCCAAAGCAAAAGTGGTAGTGTCCATCCCTAGATGCATCATCCATACAAGTTTGGTCCAGAGAGGGCTTATAGTTTCTTAGGAATAAACTTTCTTCTAAAATTTTATCCGGGACGCCGACACCAACGCCGGGGGCATATAGCATGAGACTTCGTCGAGGTGAGCTAAAAAGGCCTTAGGGAAAAAAAAACAGGAAGGAATCTCAAAAGGTGAACTCATAGGAACTGTATTTTCATAGAACCAATAATTAATCAACATAATAATGATAATAGAATGATCATCAATGTTTCAGTTTGAAAGGAAAAGTAATTCTTAAAGTCTAATGATGATTTTCAATACTCAGTAAACTGAAAAGAGTTCATAATATCTTTTTTTCTATGTCTTCCAAAAATATTTTAATTATTATTTTTTCTTTTTGGTTTCTTTCTTGTTTTTGTTTTTTTTTTGGGGGGGGGGGGGTTGAGGGGGGAAGGATGATAAAAGCCAGGTCGTAAATCACTGACGAGGGACATTGAAAGAACTTCAGCTGTCAGCAAATTGAGCGGAAAATGCACAAATTACTTTTTAAATTCATTTTTTATCTTAATATATCTCATTAGGCAATCTTGGGGAAAAAAATCTGAAGGGAACTAACTTTCATTTTAACGCACAGCGGCATATAATCTGTGAGTTAAATTCAAAGTTATTTTAATTCCCTCCAAACTCCCATCAGGATATCAGGATGATTTGAAAACGCAGAGGCTATGAGTTCAACTTTGTGTACGTTTTCTACTCTCTTTTACAGGATAATGGGAAGAAATTCCACAGGCAATACAAAAAATACTTACCCGATGTATTAATCAGCCTATAATGTCCTAAAATTCTCACAGCCAATTCTTTATCTGTTAAGAAATTCAACTGTAGTAGTTGGCCGCCTTGTTGATTACAGAGTTGAACTGCGTCTGATTGTGAAACAGTGGAATCTGCGCTCATCAGGTAGCACGATTCTACATCTACAGCACCGATCCAACCCGGGGGGCAAATGTTAAGTCCTATTAAAGAAAAGTCCAGTCATATTTACTCCAGGTCAAGGATACAGACATTTTGTGAGTTAACAAATCTGCATTTTTTTATTATTTGACTCACTTTTTATAAACGATATAAGCATCACAAATGGAGTAAAACTGAAAAACCACAGGATTTTAAGATGACATTTTACTCGCATTCATCAACGTCACTGTCTTTTTAAATTGAAAACTATTGCTAATAGCAAATCTTTTCGTACCGCACATATACTTCTACATAAAAATGATGAACGGTATAGATATATAGGAAATAAGTCCTCTTAAATTTAACACATTGTTATATTCTTACTCCAGAAAAGAAGATTTGAAAAGTTTCATAAACAGAATATAAAAGGTATATCAAAGAGTCAAGATAACATGATTCCAATAAAACTTATCAGTTATACGCTCAGAAAATGAAAAAGTAACTCACCTTGGCGAAAAATCAAGACATCTGCTGCTTTGTAGCAAAAAAATGGAAGACTTTCATAGCAACTTCGTACTTGTAGTTCCCGCAGTCTACCTCTGGATCCAATACAAAGAGGGCTGTCATCTGTCCAGTTACTAGATACAACTATTCTGTGATAAGAGAAAAGATTTCAGAAGTTATAATGTACTTATGTAAAAGGTAAAGATAACGAACAGTGATCGATCTCAAAAAAATCCACAAACAATGCAAATATGTGAAGAGGGCATAAAACACGGACCTCTGGAAATTCCAGAGGTGGAATTACGCGCCTGAGAGCTAGAGTAAGCATCCCCTGTTGACCGGTCACACCCGCCGTGGGCCCTATGTATTGATCAGGTAGACGGAACTATCCGTAGTCAATTCAGTACAAAAATTAAAGGCTTAACAATTGGTATGAAACAAAAATACGACCTAATGATTGGTTATGTTTGTTAACAAGGTCATTATAACGACCATAAAATTTACAAAATGCCTACTTTAAACGAGGCTATTGAAATCCCCGTAACATCAACTTATCATGAGAAGCCTCCTCGCTTGAAAAATTCATCGTACTCAGAGCAAGCTCTTGAGTAGCGAATAAGATGGGAGAAATAAACACCATAAGCAGGTGACAGTGGAATATTCTCACTGCCATTTTTTTTTAAGAAGTCAGAATTTTATATTTAAGGATGAACTTTGCAGTATATATGTATATAGAGACGTATGCTGCAAAGTTCATCGTTATATATAAAATTCTGCTTTTCTAAAGAAACTAATTTCATAATTATTTGGATCGTTACATACGTTCTGGTCGGCGACCAGTCCTGGGAAACATTTTCTATTTGCTTGATCTCTCCATTCAAACTAAGTTTCTATATTACCGGTACCTAAAATTACCTAAAGTTCTGCTAAAATGTTACAGAGTGCAGTGGGCTAGACAAAGGCTAGTGCCAATATCGGACTCGGATCTTGTTCTCAGGCAATTCCGGATTTAACGTCAGTCATGCTGACGGTAGAATTCCAGTTTACTGTCGTGGACGCTATGCCGCCAATTGTGTCATTGAAAGTGACAGTTTCGGCGAAGGAAACGTCATGGTCTGGAGTGCAATTAACACATACTTTAGCTCATAACTGGTGATTTTACATAGAACCTTAACTGCCATAGCGGTAAGTGGACGAAATTCTTCAGCTTGTTTTAGCGCCACAAAATTGATTGATTTCCGAATTTTCTCATTTTTACTCAAATTTTCATCAATTTTAAAGCACATTTTGTTTCAGAAAACACCGAACACCAGCTTGCCTATCCACCAAATTTATGTATTTCATGCAGCAGTATCAGATACATCTTGTGTATAAAATCTCAGATAGGCAAGCTTGTGCTCTGTATCGTCAGATGTATTTGATATTTGACAAAATTCTATCAGAACTGGGAAGTGTGATAAAATATGCCACTTTGTCGCCGTCTTGTGGTCTCTGTGTTTGCTTTGAATCAAAATCTTTAATTGGAAATCATTTTGTTCCACTAGGTTTAACCTAGTTACTCGTCCAGAAAATGTAGGTCAGATCCTGAATTTTAAGCAAGTCTGGTAGTTTGCATCCCTAAATGCATTATCCATGCAAGTTTGGTCCAGGTAGAGCTTATAGTTTCTTGGAAATGGACATGCTCCAAAAACTTTAACCGGGACTCGGACGTTATAGCATTGACTTCGTCCAAATGTGCTGAAATTTAAAGTGAAAAGGTTATTATTTCCACTTCACGTCTTCAAATTTCGTATTTACCATTTCACTTCGCGTTAACTTTGTTGAGACATATAAGGAATGAATTTAATCGCTACCTAAGTTATACTGTATAACCTGGGTTGGGACAGTTTACGCTTTATAAACCGCGAAGCGATTTATAAAAAAGCGTAAACTGTTCCTACCCAGGTTATACCAGTATAACTTAGGTAGCGATTAAATTTATTCCTTGTAATTTAGTTTTCATCATTAAGTGTAGAAAATAAGATAATTTCCCCTTCAAAACGCCTTCACATTGTACATATTTTTATTATAACGTCAAGCCGATTGATACGTTTTTGACGTAAGTCATTGTTACGTAGGCAACACAGGTTATACGAAATAAATTAATTTTTATCCAATCAAATGACGCGTTACAACCAAAATTATATTATTTTATAATGCCTTTTCAATTCGCGTTATTGCATCTTTCTAATGGCAAAATGTATGTTGCAATTGGTCCCTTCACTTGTTATATTGCCTTTCAATTCTTTTTCGTAATTTTATTCCTAGTAGACTTTCATACTTTCGCAAATTTCTTCCGTCCGAGTATCGGTCTTTGTCCCGTATTTGCAAAAAATGTCTTTTCAGTATCAACTGTGTCAATTTTGATGTAAAACCACACAAACATATATACTCTCTACTGCCCTCATTCATATGAACTGAGATCTAAAAAGAGGAAAATTTATCACTATGGAAGGTTTTAAAAAAAACCAAAAAAACCAAAAAAAAAAAAAAAAAAAAAAAAAAAAAAAAAACCCATTCACCCTCTTTCACCGCTTTCTGCACTGACAAGGCTAGGAGGCGAACCGTCCATTACTAGCGTTCCATAGGAGTCGTATCCTCCAGTCCAGAAATCTACAAAGTTTACATAGTATTCTCAAAAGGAGTGAATAGCAGTGATGACGTGTATTTAAATATACTACAAAGAGAAGAATTCCACTTTTCAGCCATATGTCATCAAAATATGAAGTTACAATTTAAACCATTCATGTCTAAAGGACAAGATAGGCTAAGACCCCTTTTTGGCCCCTGGTTTTGGGTGTCTTTAAGAATGATGCAACAGTTTATCAATAAAAACCTGTTGACACCCCTGCCACAAAATGAGTATTGGTTCTAAGTTATGGCATACACAGAGGTCACAGGAAGGTCAGGAAATGTGTTAATTTTCCGATTTTTCTCATTTTTATGCAAATTTTCATCGACTTTACAGCACATTTTGTTTCAGAAAACACAGAGCACAAGCTTGCCTATCTACCAAATTTATATATTTCATACACTAACATCAGATGCATCTTGTGTATAAAAATCTCAGATAGGCAAGCTTGTGCTCTGTTTCCCGAAGTGAAAAGTATCTCAAATTTGACGAAATTCCACAAGAATAGAGGAAAATCGGGAAAATGTCCCATTTCTGCCCCCTCTTGTATCCTCCGTGTAAGCTTTGAATCAAATTTGGTGCTGGTTTTAAAACAAGCATCATTTTAAGTACTTAACTACAAACTATCACAGTTTTAACTGTATTCTGATTTTTACATCAAATAAGGGGCCAGATTCGACCGTTACCATACCTTGTCCTTTGTGCTTGAACAGTTTCCGATAAGCTTGCAACGTCATCAGTTATGAAGTTGGTAATATGTTCCATACAACAAGTAAACATAGGTAACCAAAGGTTACATGTACCAAGCTCATCTCGACGAATGTTTTCTCACACCAATATTTTTCTAGTTAGAGGGATCCCTAAATCAATATCCGTGCAAGATTGGTATCGGCATGACGTATACATGTAGTTACTTGGGAATAGACCTGCTCCACAAACTTACTCATCCAGAAAAAGTAGGTCATACCCAGCATCCAAAGCAAATCTGGTAATGTTCATTTCTGAAAAATGTAAGTCGGATCCAGCATCTGAAGAAAGCCTGGTAGTGTACATCCATAGATGTATCAACCATTGGCAAGCAAAGAGAGTTTGATCAAGGTAAGGCTTATACATCTCTGTAGTTACTTGGTAATGGACCTGCTCTAAAAACTTGAACTTGGTCTAATGAGGAAAACGTAGATCAGATCCAGTTTCCAAAGCAAGTCATATACTGCCCTTCCCTAAATGATTCATCACTATAAGTTTTGTCCCTGTAGGGCTAATGGTCACTTATCTGGAAAATCCAGATCCAGCATCTGAAGCAGGTCAGATAATGTACACTCCTAGATGCAAATTTGGTCCAGGTAAGCCTTAAATTTACTTGGGAATGGACCTGCTCCAAAAACTTTAACTGTTCACTCATCCAGAAAATGTAAGTCAGATCAAACATCCATTGCAAGTCTAGAAGTGTCTCTAGATGCATTATCTAAGCAAGTTTCGTCCAGGTAGGGCTTATAGTTACTTGGTAATGGACCAACTCCAAAAATTTTAACTTGTTCACTCATCTGGCAAATGTAGGTCACATCCAACATCTGACGCAAGTCTGGTAGTGTCCATCCATAGATGCATCATCCATGCAAGTTTTGTACAAGTAGGGTCTATAGTTTCTCGGTAATGGACCTGCTCCTCAAACTTTTACAGGGACAAATGCCGATAAGAGGATATAAAATGAGTTCACTTCGACTTCGCCGAGGTGAGCTAAAAATGCAATAAATTTAGAATAGAGGAATATTTTTGAATGATCCATTATAAAAGATATACATGTATATATTTAAGGTATCAAAAAAAAAAAGAAACTCACTGTCATTAAAATATGCAAACGCTGGACTTTCAACATGTGAATTTGTATACAACGTCTGGGAAAG